TATACTATATTGTATTGAGAACCTAAGTCTGCGTCTCTCCACTCCCCTTAGTCTTTGCTTGGCAAAATGTTAGAGTATGCGCTCGCGAAGCCATCAGCGATGCCCACGCGCTGCTTCACATAGAATGTTTCGCCTAATCCGGGACGGAACCAACTGTATTGGAATGCGTAATGCAGATGCGCGGCGGGACCTCCCACCTTCACCGACATTAGTCCCCTCCGCGGGACTTTTTCCCAAATAAGGAACCGCTGTCAGATAAGTGTACTATATCATCGCTTTCACATAAGGTCTGTAAAGGCAACGGTCTATAAAGGCAATTTCTAAAAGGAACCTTCTTTCAAAATTGTCACTGGAAGAATTTTACTAATGTCTTGAATTTCAGAGTTCCTGAGTTGGAAATTATCAAAACTTGTTCGAGACTATTTTTCAAACACGCCATCCACGAATTTGTAGTAATTTTTGTTAGCATTTTTTGTCTACTCTTTTTCTTGAGAACAGTACAGAATTCACAAACAGAAAGCTCATTTTTATTAACACCCTAGAACATTGACAGACTATGTACATACAAGCTTGAGATTCACCCGTGATCGTATCATTCATACAGAAATCACAGTCATCCGTGATCTTATCATTCAGACGAGAATTACAGTGTCTTGATTTTCACGCAAAAAATTCCTTCAACCATCAACATCTGAATCATTGCGGACAAGAGCATCCAAACGAGGGCTGATACGGTAGCGACGGCGACGGAAAGGAGAATGATGCAATCGAGACAATAATATTCAACGGCTCCGATGTCGTTACCGGGTAGGTTGAAGATCTAAAAAATGGTCATTTCAGAAGCTCAAGTTTTCTTTTAGAAATTCCAGGCACAAGTACCCAAGAAAAATTACAAACCCTGTGCAAATTTTTATTCGCAGCAGCGAACTCCAGCCATTCAACAAATTTGTTGCGACCAGCTTCTGGCTTCATTTTCATCAATCGAGAAATGTGCTTGGCATTTTCCATGTAGCTGAAAATCGAAATAAGACTTCTAATATAATTTTAGTACGAAGGACATACCTTGGGTTGTACAAAAGCTCATCGAGGGCCGTCGCAATACTTTTGACAGTCAGCTGTTGTGGTCTTACAATGATGGTGGTTCTACGATGGGCACCTGGAAGCTCATTTTTAAAGAAAAGATACCGAGAAGAATTTTGTGGTCAGCTTGATTTACCTTGGTAAAGTAAAACTAAACTTACCAATCTGAGCATTATGAACTTGGTCAGCAAACAATGGGATGGCAAGCATTGGTACACCAGCTAC